GCATCTGTTTGTTTCGGCTTGCATGTTGACCGGCTTCTAGAACAGAGGAAGAAAATCAAAAAAAAATCAAAAAATCAAAAAAAAAAAAATAATATAGGAGTGAGAGGTAGGTATTTAGAAAATTCTGAAACTCTATCGAAATTCTGGAAAAAAAAAACGTCGTCTCCAAATGAGCCAAAGTTTTCAACTGCCATGTTCTGTCAAAACTGGCGAACTACGCGGGTCTGATTCTCACCGGATGTGAGTTACGTAGGCAAACCTCATCGGTTCCGGCCCATAATTTTCAAAAAAAAAAAAAATCCAAAAATATTTTTCTTTACTTCCTCTCTAGAAAAGTCTTTTTTTGAAACCCCAATTTTCAAAAAATCCAAAAAAAATATTTTCCATTACTTACTTCTTTAGAAATTAATTGTTTTTTTAAAAAAAATATATATAAAAAAATATTTCTTTTACTGCTTCTTTAGACCGTAATTGTTTTTAAAATATATATATATACAAAAATATTTTCTTTTAATTTCTTCCAAAATCCAAAAATATTTTCATTCTTCTTTCAAAATTGAAAAGAAAAATCAAAATTCAAAAATATTTCATTTTTTTAGAAGCATTTCTTTCATAAATTCAAAATAAAATTTCAAAAATATTTTTCTTTCTTCTTTAGAAGTTTTTTTTTCTATCGAAATTCCAAAAAAAAAACAGTAAAAGTCTAAATTAAAAAAAATCTTTCTTCTTTCGAAATTCCCCAAAAAAAAAATTGAAATCAAAAATATTTTCTTTCTTCTTTATAAGTCTTTCTTGCGGAAATTAAAATATTCCAAAAAAAAAAAAGTTAGTTTATTTACTTTATTTTTTGTCTTCCCGAACTACGCTAGTTTAATTCTCACCGGATGTGGGATACGTAGCAACCCTCATCGGGTCCAACTTCATTTTTTTAAAAATAGCCCAAAAAGAACAAAAAAAATTGTTTTAATTGTAAATAAGAAGGTGATGTCATTCTTGTCTAAAATAGTTGAATGTCCCCAAAAGGGCGCCGGAAGGCCGTTTTTGCAAGAACAACCACCTTTAGTAGTTTTTTTAAGGTTTTGGCAGTTTAGCAAACACAACCTTAAAATCTTCTTCCCCGAAGTGCTGAAAGGCCGTATTTGCAAAGCCGGATTTTTTATGAAAATTTAAAAAAAAAATAGTGATAACCTTTTCTTGAGTCATAACCTTTTAAATTAAATCACCCTAATAAATGTGCAGGATGATCACAGATGAAAACGAACCCTTCGCAGCTCTTGAATAGATCCCCTTACAGCTCCACATGTGGTGGAATGACCTAGGAAAAGGTAGCCGAGGAACAGTGATAAAAGTTTTGGGTGGTCTTGTCGGACTTTTTAACATCAAGCCAAGATTGGACGTGATTGAAGCCTTGATACCTTTTTGGGATCCGACTCGCAATGTGTTTCGCTTTTCTGATTTTGAGCTCACACCCATGCTAGAGGAAATTGCAGGTTACGCCGGCCTAAGCGGAAACCTTAGAAGTCAGTACCCGGTGTCACCAAGACCAGTATCTCCTCACAAGTTTCTGGATATGTTGAGTATTAGCCGGGATATTCAGGATGGGAATTTATCTGGAGGGTTTTGCACTTTCNTTCCAGTTCCTGTACCAACGCTATGGCAATCCCCAAGGTTTCGAAGCACCGAATACTGGTCTGACCCATGCTGGAAATAAAGATAAATGGGAGGCAAGGCGGGGTTTGGTTTTTATAATGTCCGCGAAAAGACGGCAACATAGAATTGGGCCTCGTGGAAATGGTTGATGTCGCAATCAAGAAAGCTAATGGCACATTAGTTCCCCTGATCTTATCTGAGATTTACCGAGCTTTGACCATCTGTCGAGAAGGGGGAAAATTCTTCCAAGGCTGCAACTTACTACTACAATTGTGGATACTGGAACATCTCTGCCACCGTGTCGGGTATATGAACTACAACATGACCGGTTTGGATTGCATCGAAGAATTTGAAAGCCGAGTGGCGGGGGTTGAATTTCCAGAGGGTACCGAAGCTTGGTTTGCCCACTTGAGTTCTTTAACTTCGGATAAAATTGAGTGGACGTTCGGATGGCTCCCTGCCACCGAAGTCATATACATGTCAGCTAAAGTGTGCTACTTTCTCCTAATGGGCATCCGGAGCATCCAGCCATATACTCCTCACAGGGTTTTGCGCCAACTAGGAAGATTTCAAACCGTCCCCCATGACGAAGATTTGAGTGTACATGTCGTCGAATTGGGCCCAAAGGCTGTATTTCCAGAAGGAAGAGTTCGCCAAGTTTGGAATGAGTGCAGATTTCTCGAACCCAAGACTATGGTGCGGGATCTAGCTAGAGGTGAGGTGGACCCCAATTATATGGTTTGGTTTGGCAAAAGATTTCAAATTCCTCGAGAGCCCGAGAGACCTGCTAAGAGACCTCATGTCCAACAATTCACTAACGACTCGCAGGAGCAGTGGGGCTGGTTGGCAAAAGAAGAAAGCTATAGGGCTAAGATAAGTAAATTAGAGGGACAAATCAGGGACCTCAAATTTGGCCACAGTATCCAAGCTGCCGCAGATGAAGGGGAAAAGAAAAAGCTAACTCAGGAAAACGAAGCTCTCAAAGCTCAAATCCATAAAATGAGAATAGCTGCTAGAAACCCGGAAAGAAGCCGGGCAGATGAAAGGCTTATAAGCGGTCTGAGAAAGAAAGTACTTGAGTGTCAAGATGACCTAGAAAAATCTGAGGCTAGTCTAGCAAAAGTCCGAGCACAATTGGCAGAGAATGCAGAAGGGCGGGCAGAGTTTGTGCGACAAATGAAAAGAAAATATGAGGGGACAATCGCCAATTTAAAGAGAAAGCTAATCACCCTTGAAAATGAGGCGGACAAATAGGCCAGGAATTTTAAAGCCAATAGGGAACATTGTTATGCTTTGATGGCACAAATGGACGAAGATATGCAACAATTGCGGAATCAAAATCATCATGACACTCAAGTGTTGGAAGCCCGGAATCAGCAAATCGGGCGTTTACTTCAGGAAAAAGGTATTGTCCAAGAGAGGGTTAGACCCATTGCCGACTACATCGTCATGAAATGCCACGCATGTGAGGATATGACTCAGACCACTTTCTTCGCTGCTGTAATGACATTTGTCCGCCAGATAATAAGTGATTTGGAGCGGCTTTAAGGGGATCTCGCACGTAGGCC